ACACACACACACACCGACACACACACATACAGTTTTCAGTTTTGCTCTCCTGTCTCTCTGGGAGTTTTTCGGTCTTGTCAATAAAAGACAGTGATGGATTGTTCTGGTCTCTGAACCAAAGTTTGACCTCACATTACATCACGTCTGCTGTGTCCAGCAGGATGTTTGTGTTGTGCTAACTGACGTCAGTACATCTGCCAGACATCACTGCTCAGCCCTGCAGTGTTTTGTGTGACTGACTGAGTTTGGAACATGATGTGTTCGCTGCTTGTCTGCACACCAGCATTCTTCTCTGCCTTTGGTTTCCTCGTCTTGTACGGATCCCACTGAACTGTGTCTCTGCGTCTGCAGCTGGCTATTATTTTTGATTGGATTGCTTTAATTAGATCTGCACACATGTTTACTGTATATTAAAGGGAATTAAATATTAAAGTCTGTACTCCAGGGAATACTGAGATCTGCATCAGAATTGTATTATTCAGTGTTTTGGTTAGGATGAGTTATTCTAATTATATTGTTTGTTTGTTTAAAAAAGTATTTTGAAGGTTTCTGTGACATTTGGGTGTAAATCCAGACCCTGGACCACAGACTGTGTATAAACCCTGGACCGAGGACAAACTGATCAGATTTTGGGGTGGACTGTGCCACCGTGTGGTTATTTACACTTCACACCGAATGAAAGCTTTACGTTTTTAGAACTTGTTTTCTTGGGCTTCTACTGACTCAAAGATGATCTTAAATCATTTCTACAAGACAAGATCTTCCACCATGTCTTCTTGTTGCACGTTTTATTCAGTGTTTGTCATATTTGGTCGAAAACATGGAACAAAAGCCATTAATTCATTTTTTATATCCATTTTATTTTATCTAGGAGCCTATATGTACATTCATTGCACACATACTGTGTACACACACATTAAAACATTTATGGCATTTGCCAGTAGATGGCGCTGTGGTAACATGTTAGACTTTGCTTGTATAAAGATTAAATATTTCACAACCAGGTTTGGGAGAAAACAAATCATTCAGGTCACGTATTACGTTTATTCATGTGTTTTCTTGTGAACATGTTGTTTTGCGTTGGACAGGTGTTGAATGAGGTGGTGGTGGATCGAGGCCCGTCTTCTTACCTGTCCAATGTCGACTTGTACCTCAACGGTCGACTCATCACCTCGGTGCAGGGAGATGGTGAGAACAGAGAAACTGCTGTCATTTCATATCACTCTTTTAATTTGACTCATCAAATATGATGATGAATATTTTAACTGCCTCCCTGTCTTTGTCCTCCAGGCGTCATTGTGTCCACACCGACAGGCAGCACAGCGTATGCAGCTGCAGCAGGCGCCTCAATGATCCACCCTAACGTGCCCGCCATCATGGTCACGCCCATCTGCCCACACTCGCTCTCCTTCAGGCCCATCGTGGTTCCTGCGGGGGTGGAGCTCATGGTATCGTCTCTCTGTAACAGTAACAACAAGTTCATACACAGTTTTTTTTTGTTCAGCAATTGAGAATCTAAGAAGGTTCTCTTTGTCATCAAGATCATTGTGTATCCATCGATGGATATGTGACTACAGTATCTAGCTGAGGACTTTTTTCTAGTTCACCAGTAAATGACTTTACAGCGAATGCATTTTCATGTCTAGACACTTCAGGACATGATGTTTTCATGCTGCAGACACATTAAGTGAAGAAAGTTATATTGCAGAGACCTGTGCCCCATGAGGAGATGATCTGATTAGATTTTGTCTTGCTGCATAAATTAGCGCATTAATGATGTAAAAGCAAAAATGTGTTGAAACCTCTCTTTGCTCTTTTCTTTATGACACTTAAGTGTTCAGAGCAAACGAGCTCTTCTGTGAGTCTGCTGTGTTTCAGCCATGCTTGTGACACTGTCGTTCTTTTGCTTTCGTCCAGAACTCCAGTACTGAAATATCTCAATAATTGTTGGACACATGTCCCACAGGATGAATCTTACTAACTTTGGCGATACCTTTGACTTTTCCTCTTGTGCCACCTCAGATACATTTTCATAAAATACATTTTCAGTTCACGAAGCTAACGTCTGCCGCCTTCTCTCCTGAAATAGATCACCTTGTCTCCAGATGCCAGAAACACGGCCTGGGTGTCGTTTGATGGCAGGAAGAGACAGGAGATCCAACATGGAGATTGGTAAAGTTCATTCACTGTCAGCATCTTTTGGCGTATTTATTCATTTTCATCATTCATAAACTTTCTGTTTCTCTCCCAACAGCATCAAGATCACTACGTCTTGCTACCCAGTGCCTTCCATCTGTTGTCATGACCTGGTGTACGACTGGTTCGAAAGCTTGGCTCAGTGTTTGCACTGGAACGTACGCAAGAGGCAGGCGCGACTGGCGGACATCTCAGACTCATCGGACACTGAAAACTGAAACATCCGGCGTGTTCACTGGCCTGAGTTAAAGACCTTCAGCCGACGCTCTGCAGCAGCCGAGTGAGTGAGAATGGGGGGGAACTGCGACGACCACGAGGTCTCCTGACAGAAACAGCAGACTGTGACAGGCACAGCAGCATTAGTTCTAAGAATAGCATGTACAACGAGCATACTGTGTATACAGTGTTTTACACACTGAGTCATCATCTCATTACATTCCAGTAAATAAACACTACTTCTTTATCTGTAGCTCAAAGGGAGGAAGCATGTCTCTCACTCAGATATCAATAAAGACTATTGTTAGTTATATTCTTACACTATCCTGTGATGTGAGTGATGGGGATCCACTGAAGATCTTTATCAGTCCTCTGAATCCTCTGTGATGATCAGTGTGTGAGCTGTAGATGTGAGTGTCGTGACTTTGAGAGGTCGAGGTTGGAAATACACTGAAAAAGAGATAAAGGTTTTGATGGTGAACGTAATTGTAAATTTGTACATAGAGGATGCTAGAGTTAATTTATTTAATGTCATATTTACATGATATTTATATGATTTCAAAGTGGTAGACTGTAAATGTAAGTATTCATTCACTTCAGACACTGAACCTAAAGCTGTACAATCGTATTCTACAGTCCTTCACAATCTTCTCTCTGTTGTTTTCCAAACTTTTGTGCCCCAGTTTAAATTCCACAAACAGATCTCATTCAGCTGAGTCAAACTAATGGAATGAGCTGGAGAATCTTAACTGAGCTTTTGTTTTCATGACTGTTATACTGACATCAGAGTCTCTTGCAGAAAACATAATGAGAAAATAAAGATCTGTACACTCTGATCATTTTGTGAACTTTAACTTTGAGTCAGTTAAGTTTTTATGTATTAGTGCTGCTAATGTAAGCAAAGATATGTTTCCATTCTTTAAGGACTGTAAACAGATAAAATGGACTGACTTGAAATGTGTGGCTGTTATGTCTCTTTTATCGGTAAATCGTCCCGGGCTGCAGATCATTATTTATATGATCAATTTATTTGACAGTTCTTTTCTCAATACCATTTTGGCATCTTTATCTTAAAATTAAAATTTTACTGATCAAAATAGTTGAAGGTTAATTATATCTTTTTCAACCCGTTGATTTTATCTATTTTGTTTTAACAGTGTCCAACCAATGCCCAAATATTCCAGAGAAATAAAACTCATCACTGAAGTGCTTTCTATATTTTTATTGCAATAAGAAGATACAGATATATTTCCAGACATCCATTTTTATTAAATTATACTCCAATATTGCATGAGACAGTCTTCAGAATGACACTGATCCAAAAGTGATCAAAAGACGTTTTTTTTTTGACCAAGAGATAAAACATGGATGTTTTACATTTTCACTTTTATTTCCCCCAGAAATGTGCGATGAGAAGCAGCAGCATAGAGAGTAATAATAATACTACAACATACAACAGACCGATACTGTGCAGCAGTCAATTAGGAGAATCATATTTTTTCTCTCTTTTGTGAAACGGTTTTGCTGATATTGAGCAACTGGCAACTCAGAGGACACAAGAGATGCACTTTGCCCATTGAGGGGAAGAAGAGAAAAAAACAAAGATATCAGAAAACAAACAGGAGCAGGAGATTAAACGACTAAATACGGTTGAGGGGAGTTCATTTCAAGAAAAAAACAAAAGGACGACCCGACAGAAAGTGTTTGCAATACGTTAGAATATTGGTTTTGCCACATCAGATTATGTGGGAAATGGCCGATCGCTCTCAGCGTTACACAAGCCACTAGTTTTATAACCTCGGGTTAATGACTGACCATTGTTAGTGGGAGGAATACAGCTGTGGCAGCGCACGACAAACCAACCATATCACACATTCAACGCTACAGTGGCAAGTGTAAAAAGAAATACAGATGTTGAAATTCCCACGGTTTTCTAATCCCAGATGATGAACATATAAAAACACAAATTAGCATTATAAACATTTAGGAGGTGTTATTATTCCCAGTACAAAAGAAAAGGAGGAAAGAAAAGCTGTTTTATAGTTTCTTAGACAGTATATTTGATATATCAATAGAATCCATATATAAATGATACATTTCTATTTCTTATACTTTAATATAATCCTCGCTATGACCTAAGAGAGCAGATCTAAGACATTTTCTAGCCATAAGATAATGTGAAGAAACAGCTTGGACCACGGCCACCAGGTACGGACAATGTGTCGAGCTCCAGTACCGGTCGGCGGAGCTTGATTCACGAAGAACGCCGATTTTTCACACCACAGTCTACTCTAGTGCGAACACAAGCGGTTTCATTGAGACCAATAATCTTTGTTTAGCGACGCACCAACAACCTTGTGCTGTGCTTCCTTTTTGAGATGTTAAAGGTTTGAGTTTGACACTGCGGTTACAAAATGAACAGATTAAGAAAACATACCCCTCGCTCTAACGTGCAGAACATCATGATTAGTTGTGTTTGGCACTAGTTTGCTTTACTTCTTCTCTGGTTCAGTAAATCAGGGTTTCATCTTCTCGCTGTAGTTATACAACCAACGCTGCGGTCTTTTTAAAAAGAAAAAAAAGAAAGTCAAGCGCGCCAGCTGAGTCCCAGTCGGTCACATTTACTCTTCAAGACGAGTCGCACATTATTAAACATGAAGTAAACGTTTGTCAGACTGTGAGAGGATTGCACTGTGATTATCAGCCATTCATTTGAAACAAAAATAAAAAACAATTCTGACAATGGCAAGTACCTCAAGGAGCCGTACTACCTCTGCTCTGTAAATACTCTATCCAGCCACCGTATGGTCGTTTTTTTCACTTTTTATTTTTCCTAATAAACTACAGGATTTGGTCCATCCGGCTTCATTTCCAAGCAGACGTGCTGGCCAGTTAGCTTTTAGTGCTGCCCGAGAAAGCTATCAGACGTGCAATGGTTTGAAAACGGTGAAAAAAGAAAAAGGGGCTTTATGGCGAACTCCAGAACAACCATGATTGTACCAACGACCTGGAGCTCAGAGAAGCAGGTGAATAACTAGCACATCTTTTCTTACTGGTCAGTTTAACACGATCGCTCTCAGATGTGGATTTGACCTAAAAAAAAAAGAGGAAGAATAACGCAAATGACAGGCCATAAATAAAATATTCAAAGTTTAAATGACATCAATGAAAAGAGAAGATTGAGTTGTTGGTCTGGTGGGTTTTCATTGGCAACTTCCTCAGGCTAACATCCGGTGGCAGTTTTTATTTTAACATAAATAACATTTGAGTGGGAGGATCCATCATAAGGCTTCTTTTCTTTTGTTTAATATAAGTTTCCCCCTCCATTGTTGTAGGTTAACGTTTGAGTGTTGTGTCTATCCCAGTTTAGTGGAAGATCCTGATGAGGAGAGATGGAGGCTCTGTGGCCTCAGAGACACTGGACCTTGATCACAGGAGGGAGAGAGGGACAGAGAAAAGTAGAGAGTGATGGGATTGTAAGAAGTTTATGTTTCAGCAGTCTGGGTTTTAGTCTCACTCCCACCATCTTCTTTCCTTTGTTGCGTCTCCTCATCTTTCTCCCCCTCCCCCTCCTCCTCCTCTTCCTCCTCTTCTTCTTCTTCTTCCGTGTGCTGCTCCAGCTCTTCTCTGGTGATCATCTCAAAGTCGTTTCCGTTGCTGTGCTGCGAGCCTTCGTCCTCACGCCGGTCGCTGTCTGTGTCCGAGTGGCGCTCGGCCCCTGTTCCCTCCCCCACTGCTTCTTGACACTCCTCTTGCCCCGCCTCTTTGCTCTCCTCCTCTTCCTCTTCCTCTTCGTCATCGCAGTCCTTTTTCTCGCTGTCGGACTTCTCGTCGCTGTCGGACTTCTGAGCCTTGGTGGAGGCGGCCCCGTCCTTCTCGTCGGTCTTGTCGGAGCCCTTCTTGTTGGAGGCTCGCGGTCCTTTGTACTCGTGAGTGTAGAGCGGCCTGAACGAGTCGATGAAGCCGACGTCGGCTGTGAGGTTGGGGAGGAACCAGAAGTGATGGCGCCCGCCGGTCACAAGCCAAATGATCAGGAAGAGGATACAGCGGGCTGAAGAGAGAAGTAACAGCCAGTGAGATTAACAGCAGCTTAAACATATGAACAGAAATCTCTACCTGTACTGTACTGCTATTCTCTAAGTTTGCTTTTTAATCTGTTATCTTTTCTTTATTTCATTCATTTTTGTTGTGTTTTAATCTTATTTTCTAATATAAAGCTCTTGATATTGCTCTTCTTCTAAAAGGTTGTCAAACAAAAGACTACAGCTATGAAAACTTCAATTTATGTTTTAGTCCTTCTTGTACTGGTGGGCTTCAGTTTTCTGAAGATGATAGAAACCCATGTGAAATCCAAGTTTTACAGTGATACACTTTATTTTACCTTTTTAGTAATTCATATTTTTGGCAGATAGATTTTCTCATTTTGGTTTTTAGTTTAATTGCAGCAGATTTTCAGTAAAACTTCGGGGCCCAGAAGATTCTTTCTTTGGACACATGTACTCACCAACAGCTAGAAGCAGAATACTGGCCACGAAGCAGCCTGCTGCAACACTTAGATAGTAAACTCCTACACGCATTTCTGCTGGCCACAGCGGGAACAGTGTGGCCGCGATCACTGCAATAACTGAAACACACAACACACAGACGAGTTTAAATACAGCTGCAGTCGGTCATAGATGAACCTCCTTCACTTCTCGTTCAGAAGAACATTTCTGATTTACAACTGTGACTCACCGAGAATCAGTCCCATAGCGAACGTCTTGAAATGGACGGGATCATAAATCCACACGAACACCTAAAATAAATAGACACGTTTTGTGTTCTTGTTGCTTTTTTCTGTGACAGATTCTCTGGGCACAATCAAATACCTCATTTCCATCCAGAAACAGCTGATCCTCATGAGGCTCCAGTTTAAACTTCTTCTTCACTTCTTTTTTCTTCTTGGGGGTTCCAGGACTGTCATCCTGTCAATTCAAATTCATGTTTTGCCTTAACTTGATGCTCACAGAACAGTTTTAAATGAAAAGCATCATTTTAAATTGTGCATTACGCTGATCCCAAAACCAATACAGGCACAGAAATTGAATTTGTTAATTTTCCAGTCACTGATCATTTCTTTTTTCCGGAAACACAGACCAGGCAAGATGTAAACATGAGCTTGAGCTCCCGTGACTTCTACAGATTTGAGACCTGATCTGTGATCTTTGTACTTGTGCAGTAAAGTCAACATTCCCTAATTCACCGATGAGTTTCGACAAATGTGACCAGTCATAAAGCAAACACACAGGAGTGAATCATGTCTGGGGGAAGTCTGTGCACTGTGACGCACTGATCTCAATCCTGCTTCAAATCAATCCCATGGTCAAAAAAGACGTTCAACAGTGAAGTTAAAACAATCGAACTGTTGTGATATGATTGTCTGAACCGGGTGTTTATTAAATTTCATATTTTAACCACATTTCTAAATCGATTTTGTTGGACAGGTATTGTCTTGTAACAGAGTGAGTCAGTGCTGGGTAACATACGCTCTTGTCTTTCTTGGTTTCAGCAGCTTCAGGCTCTTTCTTCTTCTCTTTCTCCTTCTTCCCCTTTTTCTCCTCCTCTTTGCTGCTGTCGCCCTTGGCCTTCTCTTTCTCCTTCTCTTTCTCCTTCTCCTTCTCTTTCTCCTTCTCTTTCTCTTTCTCCTTCTCTTTCTCCTTCTTCGTGTCTTTCTCAGGTTTTTTCTTCATCACTTTGAGAGCTCGGTGGAAGAATTGCTTCTTCAGGAGTCTACAGAGGAAGAGAGAGAACAGCTACAAACATTCATTTATGTTCAGTATAAAAAAACTCATTCAAGTCATTTCAGGGATTTCTTCCACAAATTTGCATTTGGTAACTTTGTGAGTGGACTGTAAGTAATTTAAAGTTAAAGCCAACATTAAGTTGTTTAATCAATGTGTCAGTCAAAATGAACATTAATCAGCTTCTCTTTCGTCAGTTTAGAATTTGGTAAAGTGATAATGATGAATAATTGACTGTTGGTGTTGCAGCATGTTGGTGTGTTTCACAACCGACCTGTTGCAGTAATCCACCACAGACTCTCTGGTGGTGAACAGGGCTTCCTCTCCCTTCTTAGCTTTGGCCCATTTGGAGTCCAGAAGACAGTCCACTGCCTTTGAGGCTGAATGTGAGGACACAAACAATAGATATTAGACAAAATTAATAAAATAAAAGTTCAGTACTACTTGCCCTGAAAATGTAAAGTGCTGATTATCCTGTCCCACAAATTGTGTTAGTGTGAAACATTGTTGTAGGGCTGGACAATAAAACAATATAAAAAATGTGTTTAATATATATCATTCATTGAAACATCCCAACACAGAGAGGCAGTACACATAAATTGTCCACCTCAGATCTCTGTTTGTGAGTCTCTGTCCACAAAGAAGAGTTTAAACCACAACCTCACAAGCAAAAATCAGATGTGACATTATCCTGATAATTATTAATATTGACTTTTTTTTAAGTGTTAATATCATTTTGGCCATATACACAAAAGAATCTGTACTAACACCATGTAAAAGTCTATTTGGTGACATTAGAAACAAACTGCGCCTCTTCTTAAGATGACGGAGTGAGTAGTTACTAACACATCTCATGGAACAGAGCACTAACATTCATTCAGAGTTGTTTGTGTAAGTCCAGCATTCACTTCTTTTTTGTCTGTTTTTTTCTCTCCACTAACTCCTGAGGGAAATGTTTGGCTCTTCAGCTGCTACACGCTCCACAAGGTTCACCAGTGAGCTGCTGACTGAGTCTGTCTGGAGCTGAGCAGCCTGCAGTTGGTTTTAGAGCTTTATTGACATCTACACAATGAGATTCACTTTAAAGACCCATAAAGCTAAGGGAAAGATTCAGGTGATAATTCCTCCCTATGACAGACTCCTTTCCCACTCTGCCATTATGTTCACATTGTCCTTTAATTCAGTGTTAATATAAAGGCAACACTGCTTTGAATGACAAGTGTTTGGTGAAGACTGGTCAGTCTTTGTGTTTGACAACAGACGGCAGCTTCTGACAGATGTCTCCTGCTTCCCACTTCTCACTCTACCCTCGGTGCTGAGGTTGTGTGTCGACATCTCTACCTGATGCCTCGCAGGTCACAAACAAATACTGACCAATGAAGTAGTCGACCCGGTGACCCATCATGTTCGTGGACTTGGTGGGGCAGTTGAATCTGAGATACTTGGCCACCGCCTTCTCCTCCTTGGTGGGCTCGCTCACCTCCTGCAGGGCCAGACAAGAACACACAGCTTAACACTCAGATGTGCACATGCACACACGCAAACGCAATCTGCTCAATTCTGGCACTGAATAAACGAGGAAAAACTCGTCTTTTTAGAAATTCATTTTATGACCAAAGTAATAACCATATTTCTTTAAAATTGAGGGTTCCATCTCCTCTCATCTCACAATGTTCGCACTGTCTGCGATCCTGCCAGCAGCACTGAACCACATGCCAACACTGAGGGGACTGAGAACATCGGCACAGTGAGAGTCAGTCCTGCTACAGCCATTCCAGCTGGTGCTGACCCGCAGCACGGGGAAAAATCCATCAAACAGGCCTTTGTTTAAAGAAGCAGGTATCAGTCACACAGCTCTGTTACATGAGCCCCCTCCACGGAAAGCCCCCCGTCACAGTCTGTACCATCTACCTGGCTTGGTCGCATTTGGATTAGCTGGTTTGTGTGTGTGTGTGTGTGTGTGTGTGTGTGTGTGTGTGTGTGTGTGTGCACTAGACAGGCAGCCATCAAATCTTGGTCACAGCCTTTCATGTAAAAGCTGATTGCGATTGTCCAGAGATGAAGCCCATCTCAAATATTGAGTGAAGTAAAGCACAATGATAGATGGAACAAAAATAATCGATGGTGATTATGTGAAGAATTGAGATAACTGTTGAGTAATGCTGTTCTTGAGAAGCCTCAGACATTGTGGTCGACTCATAAAGGAGATAACAGCACGGACTGTTATGCAACTGAACTAAACTTGGTTGGATGGTGTGCAAGGAGCACGTACCTGAAACTAATGTGTGTTTTATACAGCAGCCCTGCACTAAATCCTCAGTTATGCTTATAAATGGTTGATTAAACTTTACGACTTATCTTAGAGGCTGTAAATTGTAATACTAAAACGTGTTTCTAATATTCAATCAACCCTTTATTGACTTAATTTCAGGTGATAACATTCTTGAAGTTTAAATTCTTCAGAACTCCACATTTTTCTTATCCAGGTGAGTAGCTAGAAATGATGTCATAACCTATTTTAACTATTGAAGATTTCAACATTACAGAGCGCCCGCATCCAAACAGGAGACAATCTGTGTGATGTAGGGTGATGATGTCAGCAATGGACAAGCCTCTTTATTGGAGGTTTGCTCCTAAATGAGATAATAGTGGACTGTGTGTGTGTAATACAGCTGAACCTGAATAACACGATTTATAATGTTACATGTCAGCCACAGCAGACAAATGTTAAATGCTCACTTATACCAACAAGTGAGACACGTGCAGGAGGAGTGACTTGTTCTGCAGGACACAAGAACATCACTGATGTAATCGAGGTGTCAGAATATTAGGGACACCTCTCCATAAAGTTGAATGAACCTGTGGCTGTCGCTTTCAGAGAAGACGTCGATCTGCGGCTTCATGCTCATCCACTAACACCATGTCGAACTGTGTTGACATGTTCTGTTACATGTTTACGACATGATTCAGACCCGCACAGATCGACTCACGTTATGTAAATACGTCTGGTTTGAGCTGACGCAGCTTAGCCAGCAAACCTCTCCAGCCACTTGAGTTACAGTGAGAAAGGTTCGATTCCCCGCAGCTGGGTGTGAAGTATAATAACATCATTATAGTGGGTGTATCAGCGAGTGAGAGCTGCGGGCGGTGAAGACAGTCATTAGCCCGTAAACGTCTCTTCCGAGCAGAAACACTGCTGTTTGTTTTCGCTAGCCTGCTAATGCTAGCTGCCTTTAGCCAACATTTGGCTTCCTCCGCCGCCAGTAGACGGCTCCTCTCGGGGATGTGGCCGGTAACAGAGGTCCGATAACTCTGCTCCACGAATGTATCTGTGGTTCTTCACCTGACACGGGCGGTGATTTCTATCAACAAGTGAGAGATGTTACCTGGATCCGCTTCTTGTGTCTCCTGCGCTCCGCCATGATCCTCACTGCTCCTCCGACGTGCGCGACACGGGGCACGCGCACAGACTGTATGGTATCGCGAGAGTTGGAGATGAATGGTAAAAAACCGGGGGATAATAATAATAATAATAATAATAATAATAATAATATATATATATATATATATAATATAATCACAATAAAATACAACTATGATAAAATAAAAAAATGTAAGAAATCAAATGTAATCATATATACATCAACTTTTATATAATTGATATAAAAATATGCCGATTTAACTCTCAGTTTATATTTAATTAGAATATTTTGTCTTTCTTCTCCTTGTGCTGCTTTGTTTTTTTGGTGCGGTAGTTTTTAACTTTATCTCTTGTTTTTGTGCTCCTGTTATTTTCTTTGTACGTACATGAAATACATAGATAGTCACTTAAATTGAATTGTCCGTGCCATGAAAGAAAGATAGTACTGCAGTTTTCTATGTAGAAAAACACTTTATTTACAATCCAACAAACACAAACGATATCACAAAAGATATCAAAACCCCAAACTTTTTAACATACCATTTTTTTGAGTATAAAACCGTTCCCTTGTGATTTCTATCGTCTTACTGCTGGTCTACTGGAGAAATGATAATAAGCACCTGAAAAGAATAACTCAGAGTTTGAGGCTACAATCAGATGTTTTGAGACTAAGGCCTGTAATAAAACAAGAAAACAAAACAAAAACACAAACTGAACCTTCTCATTTCGAGATTCAAGATTCAAGGGTTTATTGTCATATGCACAACAATGACATTTAACAGTTGCTGGCAATGAAATGCTTGAGTCTCATAACTCAAAGTCCGCACCACTCCACTGTTGTCTTTAAAAATATATATACATTTATATGTAAAATAGAAATATTTAGCCAACACCTGGGCCTCATATGGAGCTGTGTATGAAAACCCCAGGTAGCAAACAGTAAAAAAAGCATCTTTAATCCAGGTAATCATCATAGAAACAAAACCACCACAGTAACAGCAGCGGTCCATCAGCTTGTGTTGTGCTGTAGGTGCAGACTGGGCCTGGTCTCCACACTCACATCGGTGCTGATCAGACTGTCTCGCTGCTGGCAGATGGAGGGGAATTGTTTTCTGTCTCATGAAGGTGCTCTGTGGATTTGAGGACTTCAGGGTCTCTTGGACTCCCCACCATCTCCTCACTGTTGCAGTTAACAGGGGAGCCGATCTCTGAGGAGCGGTCACCGGGCTTCTCCGGGGTGGCGTGCAGGGGGGCGGTGGGCAGCGGCAGGTTCATCATGTACAACATGTTGCCCAGACGCTTGGACACCTGCGGAGGAATAAAGATAGTCGGCACATATCAGATCCACAGTCTTGATCTAAAGAGTTTTCTGAATTATACTGCAGAGGACTGGACGTCACCTGTCCTCCACAGGCCTATATCACAGAGGAAAAGCACGGGAATATAAATGATAAAATGCATACAGTGTAGTGATGGATGAAGTCAGTTGTTGTAGTTTCAGGCTTGTGGTAAATGTGCATGTTTACTGTGACTCGTCAATAAAACAAAGCCGTCGTTAAAGCAACATCATGCAAACATCTATATGTGAAATCAGCCCTCTACTTAATTTACTTATACATGTTCATTTATTTACAAAGTTCATGTTCACTAACATTAATGATGGATTAGTCCTAACATAGTTTGCATGCTATTGCACAGTTCAACCTATAGGTGGTGCACAAGGACTGGGGGTCCTTCAGTAATGATGCTGGGAGATTGCCTGAACATTTTACAAGAGAAAGAGTGTAACTTCCGGTCATTGCTCTCAGGTGGGTGAATTGTTCAATTTTAGTTAATTAGCAATAAAATGTATGAAATTCCAACAGATTAATTCATTAACAACGTGTGTAAAACTCACATGTACACAGCACATGTGGATGAAGGGGTAATCACTCGTTTTAGCATGCTAATCGGAGCTAGCCTGTGCTAACGCGGCTAAATCAGGTGGTTCCTGTTAACGTAGCTGAATCTACGGTGGCCGAGAGAGCTCAACAAACAAGAAAACAAATACAATCAACACGTGGAAAACAACTTCATCAATTTGACGACACAGCAAATGCAAAAAACTCAGAAAACGACAACAGACATCTTTCCAGGGGACCAACAAAAGAGAGGAAGTTCCAGTTGCAGACTTCATATTATTATTTATCTTAACTCAAATGGAGGTTCTTAGAACAGAGGACGTTGTAGTTTAGGGTGATATCAATAAAACTATTCACTGAATGAAGAGTGTGCATGACAAGAGGCATTTATTGATGTGTCACTGTGTTCTGTGTGGGAATTCATATAATTTATGTCAAAGTGGCACAGATGGCCCATATTTCAGTTTTCTGACGTTTCAGAGCGTGTGTGTGGTTCTCTACCTGTGAGCGGATCTTTAGAGCCGGCCCCAGCTTCAGCCCCAGCGTGTCCAGTAGATGCTCCTCTGAGAGGAGGGGGAGTGTCTCACCATCAATCATGTGGTCCTTGAATGTCTGCAGAGAGCAATCGCCTCACATTAGCACAACAGAGACATGACAGGACGCATGTAGACATGTAGGTTAGAGACAAGCACCAACCTGAGCGTATTCTGCACATGTGGGTATACTGTTGACAAAGTTGTAAACGTCATTCACTGTCCACTTCCTTATGTCCTCTGACACCTCATCACCATTAAGAAAGAGATTCCGTGGACCTGGCAAAACAAAAACAAACATTACTTAGAGATCATTTTACAGTTTATCGATAGGTGCTTTGTATTTACTGCCCAAACTCACCAGGTGGGAGGAAGCCATTTCCAGGGACTGGGAACATGTAAGGCATCCCCGGGAGGGCTCCTCCTGCTGAGGGATACATGAACTTCTCCTGGAAAGCTGAACATTGGCTGGATATGTCTTTTTCGTTTGTGCCACTGTTGGCCACATCAGAGCAGCTGTCCTGAGTGTTCACACAGGCCTTACGCAGGGCTGTATCCCCTTCTTTGTAGTTCTTCCTGCCTCCCGTAGCAAGTTCTGACTCTATTTTTGCTTGATGGTGTGTTTTAGTGGTAGCACACTCCTCTCCCATGTCCCCCTTGGCCTCTGCCTCTTTCTCCTCCCCTGAAGTGGCCCCTGGGCTCTGCTCTACACTTTTATCCTCAGTTTGGCCCTTCAAGTTGGCCACGTGACTTTCTGCACACTTGTGAGCGGTCGGCCTTCTGCCAGCCCTTCGTCCCCTCTCTCTGTGCAACGTGCTGATTGGCGGGTAAGGGCTGGCAGACATGAGGATGCTGTTGGAGTGAAGTTCGTCCAGTGTGGAGCGGTGGACAAAGACATCGTGGCCGTCTGGCATGCGCTGACGACCTCTGAAGGCCATGGGGTTGGAAGGGTAAGCCATGGGATTGTCGAGTCCTATCAGTCCCTTCTGGTGGGCAGTTTCCAGCTCCTTCTGGTGCAGGATGGCATTCATCTCCATTCTGAATGAAAGCACATACAAATATTTAAGATATGTTTGTGTGTAGCACGAATGGTGGAAAACACAATAATCACACTTTCTCAAGGGAAGAGAACAGAGTCTGGTGTTGTACAAAATGTCCCACAAAACGTGGCGCAGAGAGTTGTGTAGGTGGAATGTTTGTGTGAGATGCTGATATTCTGGGCACACACCTGGCAATGTTTTGCTTGTGAATGAGCTCCTGTCGCCGGGCAACTGTTTCCATAGGCTCTGAGGGCAAGAAGCCATAGCCGGCTGAGAAAAGAAATGGACATCGGCTGTTATACCCTCACATACAGACAGGAAATTCAGTCACTCATGACTGTGTAGCAGCCTGTCCATGCTCACCTGCTCCAGGGAAAGCTCTGCCAGGCATGATGTTGGCATGTGGGGGAAGAGGTGGACCCAGGTGAGGCCCCATGTGGATCTGTCGGGCCTCTGAGGCAACCATCTCATTGGGTTGAACCAACTCCCTGAGGAAAGAAAACCTTTTAAAATCAGTCTTTGAACAGGACATCCATTGGTTACTCATTTACAGAGAGATAATAAGCTGTTTGCACCTTTAATAAGTTGTTTTTTGTTCATCCCAGTAAAAAGAAATGGCATCAGAATTGTTTCTTCTCAGGTAGCATGGCTGGATTATTCTCTGAACGGGCCAAAAATGTTGGTTGGCTAACTGCACATGATAGTTAAATTTTTTTATAACCAGAAACCAACTAGAATGATTAGCACATTAATTGATGTTTTGATTGACATAGAATTATTAAAACTATTTTGGCCTTAAAGCTAGATTAGTTACACAGGACGCAAATTTGTGAATATTCAAACTAAGTCGAAGTATCATGGAGTAAAGCTGGGTGCTTTCAGGACCCCTGAAGTGTTTGGGGACCTGTTAATTCCCCTGGTTTCTAATCTGGCCTTGCAAAAAAGCACTGTCTTGTTCCCTTGTACAACCGTAACTGACAACTCTCAGGGGTCCAACTTCCAATATAGCTACCATTTAAAATTTTAAAGTAAGTTCAGGCACATACCTCTCCATGAAATGAGGTTCAAACTGTGCTGGGACTCCCTGTAACCTCTGTTGCCCCTGGGCGAGAATCTGCGGAGCCATGGCCATCTGGTTCCTCATTATTAACTCCTGTCTCTGTCTAAGCTCTGCAAGAGAAGAAAAAAACACCACAGGTCACATTCGAGGCAGGTTTATCCACAGAGACAGACGTACTGACTGGGGAAACTGGGCAGGTGATAATAATCCAATAAAATCAATATATAACAGACGCAAATTTGGTTCTTTAGAGGATGTTTGGACAATATGTGAATTGAAAAGTGTATCTATTTGTAGATGAGCCATTTTACATAGTTTTTTTTTATGTTTCCAGTTGTGTGTGGCTCAGTTTCCTCTGTTTGGTCTCTCACCTCCAGTTGACATGCCGTTGACCAGGCGGTACCAGTGCTTTTCATCCAAAGCCCCCTGCTCCCCCAGCGCTGTCATCTTCCTCAGCTGCTCCCGTGGGGTCATGACACACTTGACCTTTGACCTCCAAATGAAGGTTGCTGAAATTCAAGTTAAAGACGAGGTAAAAATCAAAGATGAATTTCTTTTAAACTAATCACTAATGTCACAACCCACAGATTGGTGCTATTTTATTATGCATAATACTAAATGACTGAAAAGACACTTGCTGAACCACCCTGAACTGTGCAGTTTGCAGTTTTCAGTTACTGCCACTAGAGGACAGCAGGTATCTATTTTGATTCAACAGAAACGTGGATTTATTTAAGTGAGAGCAACATGTCATCCAAATAAAATGTCTCATGAACTTGTGAATCCAAACTGGACACAGTCATCACTATAGAAATGTAAACACAAGCAAAGCATACAGAATTATGTTTATTTCAGGTTGTAAGTATAACATATAGAACATTAAGATCTGCAATGTGTGTTTAATAATAATAATCAACTTATAATAATAATCAACTTTGTCTGTATAGCACCTCTCATAAGAGAACTGCATATTTGTATGAATTTTACCTTTATCATATGGATTTGAAAGGCTTGTCTATGGAGCATTGCAAACTAAACTGGTTTATAATATATAAATACATGTTTTTGGAAGTAGAATTTGTCCCTATATAGATAAATAAGAATTGATTTTATAGTATACTATATATACTTAAAGTAATAAGTATTTCTAAAACTGTAGAATAATGCTAGTCTGGGATCAACTCCCACAGACGCTGGTCAAGTTCATTTCAACAACCTTTGACCCCTACTCTCACCTCTTACTTTATCCCCAGCATTAAGTATTAATCTTAAACCAACCTTAACCCTCACCGTAATGTAAATCTAATCCTAAATTTAAATTTAACCTGTAAATCCAAATCCTAAACCTAACCCTTAAAGATGCGGAGACCAGCAAAAACAATCCTTTACTGGATGGCTATTTTTTCTCTTCATACTGGCATTCTCTACATTTTGTTCCTGTAAGTGTAGTAATGATAAAAGGACACACCCACTCGTACACTTGCATTCAGATATACACACCCACTGTACATGGCCACATTGTTCTTAGCTGAGCCAGCAGCTTGTGTACACAAGCACAATCGACTTAGACACCTCCAATTAGCCTTCTACTCTGCAGAAATCCCATTACAAAATATGATACTGTAAACGACAGCACAATAATCCAGCTCTGCTAATCTGAGACCAGGGTGCAAAATGTTTCTAGGTAACCTAAAAATAATCAGATCTCACACTTTAAACAAACTTTACAAACCAACACCTCTATGGATATTTTCATACTGACTATAATTACATTTTACTGATATGTGTTTAAAACTGCACATGTACTTAGGTCACATTATCTCTGCTTTCCCCTCCCCCAGACAAATGCCGCCATAAGATTTGCCCCAAGGCCTTGTGCATTATCCACAGTCCCTCAAGTTCCCTCCGAAGTCCATCTAATCTGAAGGCTGTAATCCCCTTGTTAGTCCTGCAACAGTCTGCTAGCTACATCTGCTGACCTGCTGACCAGCCCGCCCTGCTGGGCCGTCCAACCCCCAACCCCACCTTCACAGGCCCCTGCTACCCCCACGATCCTATTAGCTAAGTCCTGGCTATACAGCACTTTAAAGGGATGTGTTGGAGGTAATCCGCACGTTTAGAGTTTTACCCTCAGCAAACCTTGCCTGTAAGCATCCCGGACAATACACCCTAAGTGCTAAGCCTATTAGCCTCCATTAGCTCCCAGGATGTCCTAAAAACACCTTGAGGATAAATCTGGGGATGCAATCGGTTTATGTGGAGCTATGTGGTGCGAACACATGCACCCTGCCTCCACCTCCTTCTCTGCCAATGTCACAACAGCTAGCATCAGCAAATGAGGAGAAATATATTCCTACATTGATGTTTCTCTAATTCCCAAGTGGACTCTAAGCTCAGATCCTCTGGGCCTCATGTAATCCATTATCCCCTTTACATTCTCTCCACTGGGAGTTAATGATTTACATTTTTATATGGGAGACTATATACAACTGCACATATCTCAGGATGATTAGGCTCATTTTGCCCTGAAGTCAGCTCAAATCTTCAAAATAAAACAATCAAAATGGAGAATAATAATAATAATTATAAGTTTGATGTTGTCTCTGGAAAAACAGTGGCCAGTCTGTGAGTTTTTTATATTACCAATTCACTTGAGTCACAGAGGTGAACCTTGAGTTTGCCGAAAGATGAATACATTGAAAGTCTTTGATAAGCAATTCAGAGGGTAAATACTAAAGTCTTAAAGGTTCAGAACAAGTGCTATTTGATAATCATAAATATTTTAAAACTGTTTCTTACTGTCCTGGTGGCTGAAAATGACACGTCCTATTTTTCTTTTTGTAAAACACAACCAAAATTTAAAACATTATTCTGTATAAAGCATGAAAAACTGGAAGATGCATCTATATATACGAATAGTTTTTACTACATAAAGTTTAATTAACTTTCCTCAAAACAATCTTTGGAAGGAACTTGCTCGAGGAAACAGGTGGAGGAGGAAGTATTAAGATCTTTCACAAGTAAAAGTATTTATTGCAAAGTAAAAATACTAAATTAATAATCCAACATAAATTTTGTTAATATACACAAGTATTAGCAGCAAAAGACACTTCAAGTAAACAGAATAATCATTATGCAAAATGGCACCATTTACAGTATCATAAATACACTATTTAAATATTATTTCTTAATTGTACTTGCAGAATTTAAATATTGTGATATTGGTACTAAATTTCAACAAATGTAAGTATTGCTTGTTTAATATTTGACAATGCATCATACACTGATCAGCCCCAACATTAAAAACTTTAATTTGAGAGAGGAGATATCTCATCTACTGCTGCCATCATTCAGAAAACACAATTTGGGACACAGATTCAAAATCTGACATATTGTGTGTCTTGTGTAGACAAAAGGATTTTTCTTTTGCATGTTTAAAAAGAGTCTTTGATGATTTATTTTGCAAATTCCTTCAGAGCTGCAGTGAGCATTATTAAAAAGTCTCAAAGAGTGCAGGGTAATTATTTCTCAGAGAAATATCTCAGTGACCTGAATGTAATGATACATAATACATGAGCGGCTCAAACTGAGGAAGGCCTTTGTGAACTTTGTGCCATTTGGAGAAATCCTTCATAAGACCTGTTTGATCACAGCTAACACTTTTACAGGGTTTTGTTTTAAGACTCTTAAGTAAAGTTGAAGCCTTTTGAGACTTTGTGTTCTGCTGTAAACATGAATTTTAACCTGACTTCAAACGTGTCAGAACCTCACACCTAAACTTTAAGCGGCTGCAGCTTTAGTGAGTGAAACTGTCGTCAAAGGTGAGCTCGACAAACTCTTGTTATATTTCGTTAACAAGCAGAGGCCACACCGCAGCTGCCAAATCCAGGGATTGGGCTCCTTGGATTTACTGTTGCCTGGTTAATCTCATTACAAGAATGAATTAAAGGGAAAAATTGCTGACGACTTAGATGGAGCCCTGAGGAGGTCATATCAGACAAGACAGAAGTATTGTCTAGTCCTTGCTAATCCCTTCACACACACACACACACACAAATATGAGATTTTATGAAACATGAACAGTAAATGGTGAACTGCAGGTTTTTCTTATTGATTTAAAGATCATTTCTAATTGTAACAACCTCACAAGACAAAGTGCTGAAAAAAACAATGATTGACGGGATTAGATTAAATATTATCATAAAATATTAATCCACAGTAAATGTATGATGGCAAAACCAATAATTTCAGATTATGAAGACAGGAGGCCTATTCATGATGTATTTTAACAATTTTTTCATTATCTTCAAGTGCTATTTACAGAATCTGGGCTAATTATTAGGTTAATTATACAGATTTCAAGGTTGTTCCTCTAATCGCATTGGCCTTTAGATTAATCACTTACTGAGGGATCAGCCGCCTTTTATACTGTTTACTGTGAACGTTTTGACAGTTTGAAAAGATTTGCATTGTGTGGTGAAAATGTTTGAGCTAAGTGCATGAATATTAAGGTTTGTGGTATAATTCCTGACAGTATAACAAATGGATTTTGTGCTTTTACCGGAATAACAGCAGAGTAAATGTTACTTGTAGCAACTAGTGTAAATACAACCAGAACAAATCAGTCACAGATACAAGCACAAGATAAATTAAAAAAAGGTAGACAAGAAGTAGAAACAGAAAAAGTTTTCATTGACTCACCTTCAAGTTCACACCAGTGAGCAGAGTTTGAACTGGTTTTGTCCCAATTCAGGTTAAAAAAACAAGTCAGAACTGTAAATAAAAGCCTTCGCAGATCTCACAGAACGTGTCTCTGGACTATCACTTACAACTATCCGGCCTCCCACTAACCAGTCAACCTGCTCTGAGCGCGGTCTGCTGCCAGCTAGCTGCCTTAACTAAAGGAGACCTGTTAAATACCGATTCATTTCATCTCCATTAGCTGGCCTTATCTCCTGTGGTAAGCCCTCCCTGTCCTGACATCACTGTGATCTCCCATCCAACTGCTCACTGCACCTTGCAACTGATGTGTAATTACTGAAGCAGCACTGGTCCTAAGCATGGAGTGCTAAACCTCTTTCAACGTTTACCTCACTAATCCCTTGTTAGCACTTTAGGCCATAGTTAAGACACCTAAATGCTTAGCTTCCTTTTCCAGTGGCAAAATGGCCAACCCCTCCTTAAGTGCTCTGCGGCCACATGCAGAGCGGCTTCATGATGCAGCTTGAGGACTTCATAAAAAACCACACAGATCAGTCTTGTTTTTGTTTTTCCTCATGTCTAGTTGGGGTGTCAGAGGTATTGTGCTCCCCAGGGTGCCACAGCATTGACCCAAACATGCTTGGTGGTAATTTGCTAGAAATCCGACTAAATGTTGGCCGGATCATCCTCTCAGACCTCTTAATCTGACAGTTTGCGCTCACCAACCGCTTACAGCATGCGCCTGCACTTCTTCCTTGAAAGATGGTTTTTTTCCATGTCTGGTGACAGTGAGCCGTGCACAGTTGGTCGACTGTGCAGTGGTGC